GTGGCATTTTTACAAATAGACAATTCATAATAGCATTTTTGCAAATGAACAATCCAAAAATTATATTTTTGCAATTGTCTCTGTTTAATTTGCACACACTCATAAGAAGACAACAAATTTCCTTAGTCTTTATGACAAAGATTTGAATAGGTTTTAAAGATGTTATGAAATAAATAGTAGATACATCAAATCCGTTGAATGCATACTAGCTAAGTATTAAATATAGTCAAACCATTTTTCTGGTATGTAGAAGTATCAACCTATTTATGTACCATTAAAATATAGCAACTTTATTAATTTTATTCAAATTTATTTACTTCCTTAACAAAAAGAAAAAAAAATCATATTTATTTTCAGAATTGTGCAAGTAATCAAATTTATGTTGTTGTACACTTCGACTCTCAATTCTATGTAGTGTATATATACAGCTTACAAAACACAATCTTAATATTAAACATAAGAAGACAATGCTACCTTCTTTTAATTCAGATAAAAAAAATGGTGAGAGACAATTGCATTCTTGTATTTCTTTTTTTGGTCGAAAGCATTCTCGTATTTCATTGTGTCACTTTTGCTAGAGCATATATAATAATTATTTTGTCTTTTGTTACTAGGTTTATAAGATATTTGTCTCAGTGCTTCTAATTGCATCGTTCCTTTTGCAATACGGAGATGGCCGGATTACTCTAAGCATTAGAGATTTTCTATCAGATTCCAACAGTACGAATATTGATCATACTCAGGTAACTATTTATAAAAATTCATTTATTTTCAACTAAATCGTTAATAAAAAAAGTATTTTCTATTGCAAAATGGAATTATTGCTTGATGATATTTTAAAATAGGCATTTCAAGACGCATGGAAAACGTTATATGCAGCCAAAGAAGAAAATGGTCCAGCATCTCTAGTAATTCATGCCAGTGAAACATATACCATAAGACCACAGTTGTTTCAAGGTCCTTGTGCATCTCGTAATCTTCATATTCAGGTATTTAATTAGTAGAAGGATGTTCATAATCAAGTCATTTATCCGCATATCGCCTCTTTGCATAAAATTATGTTCACATTCATGATTAAATTGATCACTACACCAAACCAAACGATTGGTACAAATAAAATTATTAGTCTATGGGTTCCATGTCCCATATATATACAACTAGAATATGAGTGGACATAAAAACTGAATTGAGATTCATCAAAACAAAACCGAACCTAATTTTATAATTACCCGAAATTAAAGGTGAACAACAAAATTATATCAAATCTAGATATGGTACAATATAACTAAATAAACCAAAAATTATTAATAAAAGTTTACATTTTAATCAA